AAAAAAAAAAAAAAAAAAAAATTTGTATGGGCACACCAGTTGTTGGGTGCACTGCAATTTTAGAGGCAGCGTTCATCTACCTCTCCAGTCCACTTACAGTAACCCTCATCTTCCCTAGGTAGGTGCTGTGTATTCATGTGGGGAACTTTTATCTGAAGTCATACTGAGGAATTCTGTCCCCATTGAATTCAGGAGACATGCTGACTCATAAGATGGAAAGGACAAAAAGTGGCCAGATGGAAACTGTTCTGCAAATTCACAAGAGCAAGCTGGTTCCTCTGTCCTGCTTGTTCCTCCGTCCTGCTCTAAGAGTCAAGCAACCACACATTGCGGTACGAAGCTTGGCCTCCAGAAGACCATGGTGCTCTTTCTGCAGAACTAAAACTAGCTTTCTAATGCATTGTGGTACTTAAAAGATCAGCAAAGATCCTTCTATCTCCTGCCAGAACAGGATGAAAGAATAGATCGATATTCCTGCAGCAGGCACAGGCACTATCAGCTGCTTCTTTACCACAACTGCAGCAGGCTGTCACTCCCCTCACATCCTCCCTGAACAGCCAGCTGAGCAATTTCTGGTGATTTGGTATCTCCACGAGTTAGAAACATGCTTATAGGAAAAGTTGGGAATCTCCAAGCCTTTAGGTTGTTGGGATGGTTTCAGATACAGAGCCTGGATGCTGTCCAGGTTCCCTCACACATTCCTTCATAAATTATTCCACACACCTCAGTACCAAATTTCCATGGCAACTAGCCAAGACAGTATAGTCGACTTCTGGAACTATCTTACCTACAAGTAAGAAGACAGCAACAGAAATATTATCTTCCTTGTAATCAGTTGCTTTAGTTTCAATGGACAACTGGAGGACCAACATCCAGCAGATGAGAGCGCTATGATACATTACCAGGCACCACTTACTCCCTCACCCTTCCCTGCCTTTCATTAGCTGACACTGTGCACTTTCCCTGTGCTTTGCCAACAAACCTCCAGCTGACTGCAGAGGTCGAGGTGAAGGAAACAAGCCAGAATACCTTGGGCCTAGGTATCGTTTCCATTGCTTCATGTTCCATGGATATGTCTATGTGAGTGTTTTAATTCAGATTAGGAATGTGGTTTTGAGGGAAATCTCCCAAATGCCTGAGCTTCCCACATCTTGGTTCTTACTGTGGAACTGTTTGGGGTATATGAACAGGATGACATTTGGATTAAATTAACCTGAAAGCCATGGAGAATGCCTGATGTGCTCCAACCTGTCTGGGCATCCAGTCTTCAGTGTCAGGCATCAACAAGTCCAGAGTACTCCTCCGGACAGATATAATGGGGGTGTCAGGTCCTTGGCATCAAATGTCCTGTCCCAATCAATTCCTATTGCACCACATCACTGTCTAATAGACCCCTGGCAGCTACCACAGTACCTAGAAGTTACTTGTAAGTGGAGAATCCATCTTCCCAAATGAGATACACGCTGTGACAGATACCTCATTTAGGACAGCACATTACATAGATTAATTCCTCTAGATGATGAAGATCTTCATTCTGTTAAATGTAATTTATGTGCCTGTAATTTTAAAAAAAGATAAAGTGACTAGTAACAATATATTACTTCATCATTTTAGTGCCCAAATTCAAACAAACGCTGTAAAATGACCAAAAATTCTAAGACAATAAATTTCTGTCCTCTCAGTCTCCAAGCAGCCTCCAACAGTTGCAAGCAAACTGAATTCTTGTTTTGGCAAGACTTTTAAGGGATGCACATAAATGTTTTGCTCAACCCAGCCCAGTCTTGTCCTCCTTTTATTGCGTAGGGACTAGATCTTGAAACTTTATTATCAGCCATTATTTTCACACAGTCTTGTATCTTCTGACTGACCCAAATTGTTTGCAGTGCAGAGCAACTTCTTCCCATCATCTGATTTAAGTAGATCCACTGGTCACTGATTTAAAAAAGCCCATTTTGCTTTATAAATGTCTCTTTAAAATACCACCAGTGTTGACAATTGCAGTGCTCTACTCATATCTTTCTGAGACACCCTAAGTTCATACAAGTATCTTTATCACTCAGGTTTTCTGCTAAGGCAGTTCTGTGGTCCCTAGACCCTTAACCATATAGGAGGAGTCCAAACCTGCCCACCAGCAACAAACTGGAAGTGCCTCAGGGCTGGAACTACTGAATAATTTAGGAGACTTTAAGGTCAATGTCTAAGAGGCTGAGGAAGTCGTAAGTCTTCAGGACCAAATGGGGACTGAGAAAGGACAGTCAAGGTCAAGGTTCAACTCAGTCACATCATTTCTACACTAGGTACTTTACTTTTAGTGCACTTGGACTTGAGACACTGAACCTTTGAATGCTGTGTGAAGAAATACATCATTAGTGTTACTGAATGTTGCCTTTGCTAAAATCTCACACAGAATAGTTCCAGAAGGCTTTAAAAATCACTGCTTAAACTTCACTGCGGTTTCCATTGCCAAGAAGCTCCAATGACTTAATTAGGTGAATCCACCCTTCGTTAATCTAGAAATAGGACCTCTATAAACAGCATTTAGAAACAAAAATTTAGGAGTGTAATTAATACAGCAAATGTAATTTTGCCATGTAAGTTAAATTATATGTAAGTCACATCATAAATCTGCAAATGCTTCCGAAGTCTGTAGGCTCCTTGCCAGCATTAATTTTGGTAGAAATTAAGAAATATTTCTCCAGTGTTTCATTGCTTTTCAAACTCCAGGTCTGATAAGCTCTTCAAAAATGTGTCCCAGCCTGCCTTCTTTTAATATTCACTAGAGTTTAAAAATAAAAATTTATGCCTCTGTATAGATTACTTACTTAGGAGAAATGCTTTACAAAAAACATGAGATATTTCAATGTTTATAACTTTTTGCTAAAACAAACTACAGCAACAGTTATATTCAACTACCTTGACACTTTAATTTTTCATTCTATAATATATGTAAATGTACATCAGAAAATACTCCCATGAAGCAGACCTCCCATGTAAATCGCTCAGGGAAAAACTGATTTCCCATTTCATATAAGTATAAATCTAATAATCTAAAGCATTAAGTCATGGAAAAGTTGTTAAATCACAAACATTGCTTAAGAAAGATTACTAATACTATATTGGATGTCTGATGCAGAATGTACTTGTACTCGTGCCCTTGTACTCAGCATGATCATGACAGAAGTTTGTGCCGTCTGAGAGTCATGGAATAAGGCATCAAACTATTTTACGGTAATGGTCCCAATATGGAACCTTGATGCAGTTATCCACTGTTAGGTATTTAAATTATCAATCTGGAATTTAAACTAATTGAAGGTGACTAACCCAGGAGATGTCAGAGAGAGGAAGATCATAGAAATATAGTCATAGAAAGGTTTTGGTTGGAAGGGAGCTTTGAGAACCAAGGAAGATAGAATATTCTGCTACCTCTGGCCAGCAGTGATTAGCCAATATTGCCTGAGTTTAGGAATAAAAAATGAAGTGTCAGTGTCTGTGCTTGTCTTGTGCTCAGATATCATGAGTTTAAGATACCAGCTGGATTTAGCTTCTTCAGAATTCTAAGATACAACTGAAGTTTCTCACAAGCCCAAACTGACTTTTTTCAAATTCTAGTTTTCATGAAGTAACTGCAAAAAAAGCAAGAACTGAAGCAGCCTGAGTAAATTAAATCCATCAGACAGCTACATCAGGATTGTGTGATAAATTGTTTCATTCCTTTACCATCTGATTGGCAGTCAGCATCTAGACTCACTACCTGATGCATACCTGGTAAAGGACCTGCTGGGGCGCAGGACGCCCTCCACTCATCCAGGCTGGCAGTTGTTGAGCACGCACGGAGCCAACACAGCATCTGCTGGGAGTGCATGTGCATACACGTGTGCACACACACCCCCCCCTCTGTATTTCCAGATACATGGTGGGTAAGCACATGTAGACTTCGGAATGGAGATGCATGTTTTGAGTTCCACATTATTGATGTTGCCCACATTATTTTATATGTGTCCAGGGAATGTACAGAATAGAAAAGGTAACATGACTGTAAAGTAAACTGAGACCACTGGTTGATTCATTTTTCCTAGCCTTAATATTCACCTGCTTAATGTTGGCTGATAGTGTAAAATTCAGGCTGGTGTCGTCAGGAAGGATGAACCAATATTCAGGAACAAAAGCCAGTAGGTATCAGCTCTGATCCTGCAATGTTCCCAGGGCCTCCAGACAAAGCAGTTCTAGGTAATGGTCAAAAGAAGCAATATAATTACTAGCTTGTTGCTGAGCTTGGGCTTTTTCTTTTCATGATTTTTAATTAGTACTTTTATCCCTGCTACTTATCACGGAAATGATACCAAAATTCTGAAGAAACAAAGCCTTATCTCTTTGGAAAATAAAAATCGTTAATCCTGCACAGCTGACCTGACGAGGTGATTACTCAGCTAATACAGTACCTTCCTGCCATCTTGTGGCACTGTAGGGTTTGCAACTTTCTATTATATTGCATATTTTTTATTTCAAATGAAGTTACTGGGTTTTAAGTTTCAGATGCTATCAAACAACACACACATTCACACACACTGAGTAAAATCCTGGTCCAACTGATATCAGTGTCAAAACTTTTGTTGATTAAAAAGCTTCCAAACTGCACTAATTGTATTAATTTTGATATCTTATTATGTCAATAATGAACATAAATTCAAACTAAATAATGTAAAATGGGTTTCAGTTTTAAAGAAGAAATAACCATTATACTTAAAAATCCTGAAGTTATCTCTGAAATAATACCTCGTGTTTTTATAATTAATTCATCTATATTTTTCATTTGTGATACTTTGGTGGTTTTACATAGCTACCTCCTTTTTTAAGTCTGCCTGAAGAAAAAAGAAGCTGCATCTTTTATACAACTTCAGGTGACATCTTTCAAGTGCTTGTTCAAAGTTTACTTATTTTTCAAAAAAATAAAGGTATAGATGAGGATGTGCTACTGTCAGATTTCCTGCTCCTGCTTTCAGGCTGGAATCACCGACTCGATCATTGAGCATGGATGCACCACGAGGAATTAATATCAAAGCACAAGCTGGGAACATTGAAGCTCTTTCCCAGATGGATATCAAACTACACAGCAGTGATGGTGTGGTGAGTACAAGCCCTTCTTTTTCCATAACTGTGGTTTATCTTGCTGTCTGAATATAACTAATAGCTTCAGTTCTTTTTTCAAGTTCTGTTAATTTGATTTTAGGAGACAGAATATTAAATTTAATGGTGCCAATAATAAGACATTTATTTATGGGTCAGATTGAAAAATACTACCAATTGACATAATGTTGTATTGGCTTAGAGAAATGCTTTGTAATAAAACTCTCATAGTGCTCAGCCCCCTACCAGCACAGTGATCCCCAGGCACCCCAGCAGGAACCTTGGCCCAGAGGTAGACACTCAACCCTAGACTTGCTAAATTAAGAAGCTCTGCAGACGTCATTAAGAGCTGCCCCATCAGCAACAGCATGCAATGTGCAGCAGACTAATTACCAGTGCCAGTTCTTCCACAGAGGAACTCCAGACCAACCTATACAAGAAATAGATACCTACCATGGACAACGGACAAGAAATCCAGAGAACTTTTTACAAGGGCATGTAGTGATAGGATGAGGGGTAATGGTTTCAAACTGAAAGAGGGTATTTTTAGATTAGATGTAAGGAAGAGATTCTTTCCTGTGAGGGTGATGAGACACTGGCACAGGTTGCCCAGAGAAGCTGTGGCTGCCCCCTCCCTGGCAGTGCTCAAGGCCAGGCTGGACGGGGCTTTGAGCAACCTGGGCTAGTGGAAGGTGTCCCTGCCCATGGCAGGGGGATGGAACTAGGTGATCTGTGAGGTCCCTTCCAACCCAAACTGTTCTATGATTCTGTGCCCACTACACTCCCTGATAGAGTCCATCCTCATCTTTCCGGTAGCCCCCTTTAAGTACTGGAAGGCTGCTATAAGGTCTCCCCAGAGTCTTCTCTTCTCCAGATTGAACAACCCCAACTCTCTCAGCCTGTCCTCATAGGAAAGGTGCTCCAGCCCCCTGATCATGTTCATGGCCTCCTCTGGACCTACTGAAACATGTCCATATCTTTCTTATGTGGGGGAGGCCAAGAGCTGGACACAGTACTCCGGGTAGGGTCTCACAAGAGCAGGGTAGAGGGGCAGAATCACCCCCCTCAGCCTGCTGGTCACGTTCCTCTTGACACAGCCCAAGATGTGGTTGGCTTTCTGGGTTGCAAGTGCACATTGCCAGTTCTTACTCAGTTTTTCATCTACTAATACCCCTAAGTCCTCCACAGGGCTGCTCTCAATCCATTCATCTCCTAGCCTTTATCCATGTTTGAGATTGCCCCAACCCAGGTGCAGGACCTTGCACTTGGCCTTGTTGAACTTCATGAGATCACTGCTAAGAAAGAGGATGGGCACCAGCTTATCCCTGTCCCACGTTCCAACATCTGCCAAGAGCCTAGATCTCAGAGAAGCTTTGTTCATAACAAGTCTGGGTAGAAGGCTATTCTTCAACCACTGCCTAGACAAAGTCAGGTTGTTTTATGGCATGCTATTGCATTATCTCTAATGAGCCTATTTGTCCTGCTTTCTCCCATGCAGCTTTTGCTCGACGCTGAAACTGTGCGACTGCCCAAATTGCCTGAGGGCACAAGAGGTGGATCTGGAATTTCTCAGGGGCTCTACGAAATCTGCGTGTGTCCAGACGGAAAGCTTTATTTGTCAGTGGCTGGCGTGGGCTCCACTTGCCAAGAATACAGTCGTGTCTGCCAGTGAGGGACCAGAAAAGGCCGCACACCCCCTTGCTAGTCTGAGTTTTATATTATTGCTAAAGAGCACTACTGAAAGCAGAATTTTCAGAATTTTAAAAACAAAGTACTTCAGTTTAGGAGACAAATCTGTATCTACAATTCTGGACTACAGGGTGAAAAGGGAAGAAGAGCACAAATGACATTTCAGCTTCAGAAGAATGACTTGAATCAGATTACATTTTCTGTCAGTAACACTTTGAAAACAGCCTTACATAGAGCATTAAAAAAAATAAAAGGAATGTTTCCTTGCTGAACTATTACTCAGTCAGATAATTATGTCATTGTTAATATTTTTGAGCTCCGTGGTTTTTTTCTCTCACTACATGTAAACACTTAATGCATTAGTGGGTGAAATTAAATTGAGGGAACTACTTGAACTATTTACTAAGACAAAGCATTTGGTTATTTCAGAAAGTGCCAGCAAATGGTCTATGCAATTTTGTTCTTGCAATAACACAAGATACGAAAAATATGGTATTTGTCTAAGTTCTGTGTACAAGGTGTTAGTTTGCTAACAGCTTTCTGTGTTAATTTGGCAACACATATGCTGATTTGCTTATCACTGAGATTCATATAACTAATATAAAAAGCTCCAGGATTCATTTATACCTCCCTGTGTCTCAAATCTGTACACTATACAACAGAGACATATGTTAGTATATTTTATAATAGCAATAGTTTGTTGTATTGACTGTATCGTCATACTCATTTAAACCCTTTTATATTTTAGGAAATGCTAATTCAACAAGGCAATTTTGTCTGCCAGCTGGACTAGTAAAAAGAAAAACAAAAATATATGGCTCCAGATTGTCTGACACAAGGAATTGTTTGGGCGGTGGGGAAAAAAAATCCTTTTTTGCAGCCCACATGATTCAGTTAAGAGGACTATTTGCAGCTGTTGACTGGTATTTCTGATCTGTCAGAGTGGGACTCCATCACAAATGGAGAGAGTAAAAATACTCTTTATAATTTTTTTACATTAGGACTTTGGATACAAAATAAATGCTCACCATAGTTGACAAACCATTTATTGACCTTGTAGAGAAACACAACTGCAGACCCATTCCCCTGTACAGTGTTGCACTGAACACAAATAAATTGTTTGCATACCTCTGGGTAGCAGGATTTGTATTTAATAGTCTGTTGTTTAAACCTCATGCGTTTTTAACTCCTTTGATGCTGTTTTGTATATACTTGATGATATAACCCAGGTAGAAGCTGCTATCACATAGTGCCTTGGCATCTATTTACAGAAATATTTTTAACCTGTAATTGTTATTAACCACAGAATATCCATCCTTTAGAGGAGAGTACTGTCATCCAAAAAAAAAAAAAATAATTACTGAGACTATGCCATTTTTTTAAACTTGCTACTTCAGTTCTGGTGAACAAGCAAAGAAACCCCACACTCAGTTATGATCCCAAATACCCACAAAAGGCTGAGCTGAGAAAGACCCCCCCAGTTATCACTATGCACTATTATTGTGGTAAAGCCCTGGGTAGTCCCTGCCTCAAGGGCTGCCTTTGTAATTTATCCAATTAGTCTAATGTACAATACTGAAATTGCCTTCATTAGCAGGGTGGAGCCCTCAGCAATTAATTTAGACTAGAAGATCTTCAACAGTAAAAGTAGGAGACATGCTTAAGATGAGCTTTTGGGTCCATTCAGGCAAAGGAGGTAAGTGAATTGAGGTCTCTCCCATGCTATTTGGAGAGTGCTCCAATTGCTGACATATTCTCTAAGGTAGAAGTAGGAAGCCACACCTCTTCCATTTCTGAAATTCTCTTTTCCTGGGCTTAGACATCTACCTTCAGGAGTGAGTCCAGGGCTGTTGGCCCTAAAGAGAGGAATATTTATCTCTACTCCACAACTATATCTAACTATATCTCTCTTTACAACTAAGCCCTCAGCTGAGGCAGACTTTAACAGAAACCCATCTTCAGCATTTCTTTAAAGTCAGTTTAGGTGGTTCTAGCTTCATGTACAAGCCTTTGCAAACCAAATTATGAGCAGACTTAGATTATTCATTGGATAGAAAGTTTGAGTATTATAATAAAGGACAGTAAATTCCATTCCATGTGCCAGATACCTAAAAACCGCTGCTACAAGTAACTTGGAGGGCTGTAATGTCTACAGTCTTTTACAGATGTAGTATAACAGCAAAACCAGTACTTCAGTCCTTAGAGAATTCAGCCACTGTCTAGTTTCAAAGGCACTTGAATTGTCATCACACCTATGTTTCTGACATCAAGGAACATATGCCCACTTCCATGTGGTACAAAACTACTCATTCACCTAATCCCTAAATGTTGGCCAGATACTGTAAATATTAGTTAAAATCTGACTGTTCTGCTGGCAACTGAAACATAGTGGTTTAAGTTATGCCTTTTAAGCTTTTGGAGACTCATTTTCAAATGTGATTTGCCAGTTAAAACAGAGCAAAGGATTGAATCCAGGTTTTCCATGTGTCAGAAGAGTAACCTAACCCCTGAGCTACTGGGTAGTTGGAAGCCACTTCTTACACTGAAGTTACTGTTTTAGTTAACATTTTTACAAAGCTGTGGCATACAGCTAGGAAAATCAAGGTGCAGTTCCCTGACTAGTAACACTACTATGCATTATGGCACCTCAGTTAGACTTTGCAATAACTAGTGTCTTTCTTGCAGAGATAAAACCTTTTGGACTTGCCTCAGTTCACAGGTGGATTCTGAGTAGTAAAGAAAACTAAACAGGTCTGCTGGATCCTCAACTTTGTAATCATCCAGATCACCAGCTTGCCCCCTTCGTTGTTTAAATTTCATTCTTCTTTTCAGTATGCTACAAAATTGACATTAAAAATATAGATGCACTATATAAGTTGTGCAGGTTTTTTAAAGCATGGATGACAACTTCTTGTCACTGAAGAACATCTTAGGAATTTTTTCTTTTAGGTGTGGTTAGTGGAGAAATGGAGTTTATGCTAAAATTACCACAGTGTAATAATCATCTGATACTATAATCTCTTGTTAATCTCAGTATAATTCATACATCACTAAATTATGATTTCTGGTGTCTCCATGTGCATGTCTTTCCTTCTCTTTTTTAATATTTCAGAATTATTAATTATTGTTTCTACTTGAATCAAACTTCAGTAAATAGCTACAGAGTAACAGAAAATTATGGCACAGGAAAGTGAGAATACACACTCCTCTAGTTTATTTTCAAAAGTTATTCAAATGGAGAAGGAAAAAACCACTACCCAGCATAGTGAATGAACTGTATTGTTTGCATACTTTTTCCCCTCAAAAAGAATTCTTTACAGCAGTCCTTGTAACTGGTTGGGATTATTACACAGTGGAAAAGTAAAAATATTAAAATACACCTTATATTGACATTTGTCTACCTTTATATAGCTTTATGCAAAAGGAAATTGCAAGAATTAACTGAAAACTGAGTTCTTGAATAAACTTTATACCTTTTGAAAAGCCTGCTTCTCCTTTTGTGTTCAAATGAAACACAGCTTAAATGAATGGTTTCATGTTTTCATTTTTTTAAAAAAAAGTCTTCCCAAGACTCTTAAGAATGTGAAGTGTATGTTATTTAAAAATATGAACAAAAATCTTGGCCCCAACTCAAAATTCACTTTCCAGAATTTAGAAAATGCTTTACAGTTAGGTTTCATTGGACCCCTAGAATGGTCTTCATCTGTAGTGGATGAAAGTAAGCAAAAAATTAGTCCAGCGATACTGACTGAACCATCCAGAAAGTAAAACACAGAAAAGATTAACAGTTTTAATGAAAAACTCACTGACAAACACCTCTATGTGACAAAAATGTGAACTATCTTCAAATGAAAACATCTACATTGGCTGTGAAGTTTAATTATTTTTGAACTATTACTTCTTCCTGTTTCCCACAATACCAGTCCAGCCAACCTCTGTCAGATCCAGCACAGGAGACTTCACAGTTGGTACTACCCTCCTTTCATTGAAGCAATTACAACAGATATTATTAAAGCCTAATTTAAAGCAACCCAAGTACCAAGTGAATGCAGTCCTTACACTAATAGTTCTTAAATTCTAGTTTTCAAATCAAAACTTTATTCTGATGATTTCAGTACAAATATTGCAACACTGCATGTTCATATAACAATTTTTTATTTTAGTACTTGGCTACACAAAAATCTGTTTCCTTAAAAAATGGTCTTTTTCTTGTCAGCAATTGCTGAGGCAAGTGACCAGCGCTAATGCCATCATTTGGGAGGAAAACTTTTAAAGCTTCCACAAAAAGATTAGTAATAAACCTGCCAAGGCTTGTTACAACTGCGGTTCCTTAGATTTGTGCTACTAAATGTACAGTTAAATCAGTTTTCTGTATCACTGATCTCTGCTAAACCTCACAACTATAATCCTGAGACAAGACTACTGAAGCTGCTTTTTCTAGATACATTACTGGTACCTGTGGAAGGTAACTAAGACATATACCTGGCTGAAAAGACATTTCCCTCATGTGAACTTGTGTTATGTGCAGAATTACTTGTACAATCTATTTTTGTGGAACCTACACGCTAACATTTACTTCTACAGACCCTTACTAAGGAATCATCACATACTAACTGTTCTGAGCTTCCATGTCCAACTTGGGAACAAATATTTCCCAAGGCTCCCAGCTGAGCCAAAAGAAAGCATTAATTAAGCATTTTATTTAAACAGGGATTAAATGGTACTTATGAAATCAGTTTCTATCACAATAAGGTTTCCTGGTTTCATAAGGCCTCTTTATTTAGGCTAGGTTTACAGTGAGTTAAGCAAATAAAAAAAAAGAAAAAAGACTTCCAGTTGAGACACCACTCTTGCCTGTCTCTCTCAATCTCTGAATGTAATGTTATTGCAACTGACTGATCCTATTGACCCAGGAATAATTAATACAATAAATGAATTCTTCTTTGTCATCCAGGTTTTCTTGCTTACCTTGGTTCTGTAATTTAAAATTACTTCAGACCAATAGCTTCTTAAGAACCTTCTTAAGAAATGGGACCATTTTCCTTCTCACACTGTCAGCACTCAACAATATATACAAAACAAAAATGTAACAAAATAGTTTAGTAGTTCTGCACAGCCAGTTTAATGGTTCATAGTACTGGTAAGGCAACATAAGTTACTTACAAAACAATTATGGTCTTAAAAGATTTCCTTCCTCACCTTAAATTCTCACCTAAAAATGGCAAAGTATTCATGTCGCTTCTCTATTATTTGTTTGCATGCTACCGTGCTGCCTTATGTTTTAGCTCCATTTAAACTGGAAAACACTAGCACTGTTACCTTTTGTTAGTATTTTGCTTACCCTGAATACTATTCAGCATAAAGAGTCATAAAGGAATCTATTTTAAAAACATAGGGAATTAACTAAACTGATTTATTTCATGGCACACCAAGATTTGTGTTTTACTTACATGCTATTTATTGCAAAAAATCAGCAAAATGTACAATTTGAGAAAACTGCAAACATTTGTCATTGAAATAAAAAAGCATTTTTCCTTTTTAATAGTATTTTAATATTAGTACATTTAGAATTGATTTATTTACCTATAGAAAAGAAAGCTTGAAATAACACGTAAATTTAGTCTACTTTATAAAACTAAAACACAGACTGAAATATGTTTGCATTTTTCTTTATTAAAATTATGGCACTTAATATTTAATAGCAGAAATAGTAATGGGGCTTCACAATCAGAAGCAGTATCATTTTCCAAACACATTTCTTCCCAATACAATTTGCAAGATTTTTCAGAAGAGAACAAGCCCTTTATAATTTGCACAAAACTGAAGAAGCTTTCATCATGATTTATTATTTTTGGATTACAATACTACTGCAGCTGTTATCAGCCCTGCAAGCTCACTGTTGTTTATCTTCTTTTGTGTTCTACAAGTTAAATTAGTTTCACTGTGCTGTCAAGTAAACAATTGTAATAGCATGTCACTGGAAAATAACATCTATGTTAAGTGTGGCTGATCCAGCAAAGAGAAATCCTTCCATTTAGCATTATCCTTCCATATTTTTTATTTTTTAATTTTTTTTACAAATACCTAACGTTGAACATATTGCATGACATTACCAAAAGTATTACAAACTATAAAAGAAATAGTGTGAACTAAAAATCAGACTTGTCTAGGGCTGTAATGAAGACCAAAATAAAAAGAGCATTGCATTGCAGCACCTTTAAACATGTAACAAAAAACAGTGCTCAGTGTACACCAAAAATAGGTTACTGAATACTATTATCAATGTCTGTTTGTGGAAAAATATATATATATATATATGTACACACACAAAGGCACACACGCAGGAAAAAAAAAAAACCTCAATCATTCAGACATCTGAAAACTGAGTTTTGGTGTTCAAAAAAAAATCATAAAACACCATATAATAATGTTTACCAATTGTATATCACACACATGCATTTTTCATTACACAAAAGATGACACGATCTAGAAAAAAGTAAATTAAATAATTATTTTATAATAAAGTAAATGCAATCAATGCATGACATGAAGTTGCATGTTAAATCAAGTATCATTATTCAGCATTAAAATAACTACCAGTTTACAGGGACTAAACTATCCTTTAAATGTTCACAATGTGATGCTGCAGCAAATTTATAATCAGATCCAGCTGATAAGAGTATTATTATGAGTGACACAAATGTCCACAGAACACAAAAGAATACAGAAATGCTTTGGAGCAATACTTCCAAAGTTATTTTAATTTCCTTTCTATCTCCCATTTCATCATATGTCCAGTCTTAAGATTAGTACATTGAAAACTGACATTACCATTTTAGAAACGTATTAAATGAAATAAAATCTAATAAGGAGTTATAATTACAGGCTTCATCTAACAGAAAGCTAAGCTTTGGTTATATAAAGTGCAGTTCAACAATATGCCAAATAATCACAAGACTGTACATACAGCTAATTTTTGCAGCTCAGTTTCATTCCATTTTTTAAAAAATATTCATGTTTTACAGTTTGCTTATACAGCAGGCTCAGTTAAAAAAAAAAAAAAAAAAAAAAAATCCACCTTTGTGCACTACAATTCTAAACTGCTTGGCAATGTGTAACCTCTTGGATGTTCAGTTATCTGCACAATCACATTTGTATCCAGTCACATGAAATACCTAAGCTTTTGACAAAACAGTTCCCTAACCTCTTCAAATCACTTAGACTTTTTGTTGTATAAAGTTTTCAAGTTTTATTATGATACAAGCAGTGCATTCCATTACTCTCATAGCAACTTCTGAAGTAAACCTATCATTGGGAATCTGAGGAAAAGGAAGTAAGTCAGGATACCTGGTTTTTAAGCTATCTACTCCATAAGCTTCCAATGTCTGAACGTCATTTGCAAGCCCTTCAAGTTGCTGACTATATTCCTCTACTTTTTGTGCAAGGGCTGCTGGTTTTACATCTTTGTCTGATTTGCCCTTCACAGCATAGTCAGCTGCAATCAAGGCTAGTTTAGTAGAAAGGTAGCATTTAAAGCATACCCATTCATTGGCATTTTTATGAAGGTCATTTCTTGCAGCTGAAAAGTTAGCTCGGGCCTGCCTAAGCCATCGACGTGCCTCTACAGGATTGCCAACAGACCTAAATGTAGGTGGGACAAAAAAGCGTTGCGTGTAAGATGGTCCTGTGGAAGACGGACACTTTTCTTTATACTGTTGTCTTTCAGATTTGTGGCTTGTTGCTTCTTGATTCCATGAAGTATAAAATCTCTGAAATGAAAATTTATCTGACTGAAATCGAGAAGCAGAGGATGAAAAGGGTCTTCTTGAGGCTCTGTCCATGTTTTGATCCATAAAGGCCTGTTTTTCTAATCTGTTAATCTCATTCTGCAAATGTTTGAAAACTTCATTAGCTATATCAAGATTCTCTGCATTTTTATCTGGATGCCATTTAAGATATAGCCTCCTAATAATCTTTTTCCTTTCAGATTCTGGAAGCTTCCAAGCCTGTTCAATCACAGATGTGACTTCTCTTAATATTTCTGGCAAGGAGTTAGACTTTATCTTTTTTGGAGAATGATGCTTTGAGGACATTGTTTTGTGGCTCTCTCTACCAGTGAAGAGAGGTGGAATTGTCCTTGGTCCATGTGTTGGAAATTCTGTGGGACTGGTTGGGGTAGAAGGTGTGCTATCCCTGCTTTGAGAACTTTCCTCCGGTCTTGAAAATTTGTACAAGTCAAGAGAGCTCACTATTTTATATTCACTATATCCAATATCAATCTGGTAAATCTTCCCTAGGAAACTGGGATTTTCATCATCTTCTCTTTCTACTTCTTGTACAATGATTGCATAGGTATAAGTTGGTTGATATGATCCATATATATCACCACCTTCAGCATCAACAAGGTAACCTACATATTCACCAGGATAAAATACATTCATTGGATCCATAAGAAGTGTATAGTGAATTTCAGCTGGTATAGG